TATATAAGTATTTATATTATATATTTTCCCATGAGTTATTTAAATTGATTATTTTTTTATCGATCGAATACAAAAAAAAAATTCAAATTTTCATTTATCTTACGGAAATTTCCTTCAGGAAACAGGAAGTTTAATATTGGAAATAAAAGATGCAACAACGTCTGACTCATGTTAACAAAATTAATATTTGATGGTTGATTTTTATTTTATGGTTTCTTTTTTTTCTTCCACGTATCCAACGAGTCCAAGCTTCTCGACTTTTTAATATCAATGTATTTTTTAATTTCCTTAATGCGAATATCTTACTATGTCATATTTCTTATTATGAAAATCATGATTAGTAATCGAAATGATTACTTTGATATGTTTTCTATCGAAATTTATATAGAAAATAAATAAATATTATTTCAAAATTATAATTATAAATATCCTTCGGACGGGGGGGTTATTTTTATTATTCAATTAAAATTATACAAAATAACATATATAATAAACTATTACATAATGTTTTAGAATTTTTTAAAGAATAATAATACATTTTGTTGTCGACTTTTTAAATAACGATAATAAAATTGAAAAAACCCACCTCCTTGCCCCATAGCTTCATTATATTAAAAAAAAATGTCATGTATTTGTTACAGTTAATACAAATATAACGAGATTACAAAATATTGCAACAGCATCTTCGAAAGTAACGATTCATATCGAATATCACATATTATTCATTAAAAATCAAATGTATAATCATTTTCCATAGTTATATTTCGTATCCATTTTCAATATCGCAAATTGTAGATTCTTCATTTTATTTTCTAAGACGGTTATACGATGAAGAGAAAGTTCCACAGGTATGAGTCACCTGAAGGAATCAATATTGCAACTGGCCGAGTAAGTTCCCTCCACGACACTTCTCATTAAAACATTGTGTTACAATCGGTAAACACAAACATATCTAATGTATCTATGCCGAATAAAAATTCAATTGAAAATCTTTCGATAAACGATTGACTTACGCGCGAATCGATTATTATTATTATAATATCTTTTTTGTTTTTTTTTTCTATAATCATAAGAAAATAATTTAATGAATATTATATTGTAATATTAAAATTTTGTGTATGTTGTTTTTAAATTATATTCAAATCGATCACGTGTCATCAAGGTAATACCAAAGAAAATAAGAAACCTCTTTCGATCGTTAAAAAAATATCCTTTAATATTTTCTAATAAAATATACCTGTTCCGATACAAAAATAGAGATGTAGAAAAAATAAGAGAGAGAGAGAGAGAGAGAGAGAGAGAAAGAAATAAGATAATCGAGGAAAAGAAATTTCATTAACACGATCGAGTCAACGTACTTGAAGTAAAATTAATCAATCACCGATCACAATCTAAATTGTTCTCCAGTTATTTTTTTTTTTCCTTTTTTTTTTTTTATATATATGTTCACTCGTACGACCTAAAGAAAAGAAGTAACGAGACGAAGTCACATAAAACTAATCAATATTCTAACCATGATTTATTAAGGAAGACGATGACGTTAAATATTTCAATTTCCTTACGTGCTCTTCTCTCCATTATATGACATTTACCGATTATCTTTTAAAAACGTTTGGATAATACTAACGGAGATAATATAATTGTATTAAGAATTTTTTCTATGGAAGAAACAAAAAAATAAAATAAACAAAAAAATAAAACAAAAGGTTAATAAACGTTAATTGTAATAAATATATAATATATAAGAACGTGTTAATTATTCGTTAATTAAAAGCTGATGCAAACAAAATTATTCTTATTAGATTGTTGCCAATTAAAATGGAATATAAATAAAAAGTATAAATTAGAAAAATGAAAGAAAAAAAAGCAGAAAAAAAAAACAAAAAAAATATATATATATGTAAATAAACAAACAAACAAGAAAACGCATCGTATGGAAACAAGTCGAACAAGTTGAATAGTTGCAACGTAGTGTATTGAATTTTGTTGTTGTCCTATACTTCTAGGAAAATAATCTAGTAGTCTACGACGACTATTACTATACTTTGAGATAGTAGGTACATGTTACAACTGTAAATCGTTATTATTATTATACATAAAACATGACACACAGGAGGGTAATAACATCTAACACGACGAATCCGATTGCATATTCAATCTTTCGATAACAGAATTGAAGATGAAAAATATCGATATCGATAACGAATGTCTGCTCGCGTGATCTTACTATGATGATGATTTTGCATTGCATTGTTTTCATGATTAACCGATATAGTCATATCGAACAATCTCATACTGACAAACAGCTGACAATTCTTAAACGTGGTCAAACAATACAAATTCTCATTTGTCAAAAAGGATTATTCATTTTTTGTTTTGTTTTCACACTTTTTAAATTATTAGATTTGTTTTTAGATTGGTAAGGCCATAACTTTGTTAACTTTTCTTTACAATTTAATAATAAAAAATCAATTTTAATTAATTTGGAATATTATTTAGAAAAAACTTTTCAGCTAATTTTGTATTTATGAGAATCGTTAGTTTTTTTTTTTTTTTACAAAAAGAAACAATATTAATCGTATATATTTGTGTGCGAAAAAATCGAAAGAAATGAATTACATGGGGAGGAAAAAAAATGAAATTAATTCTTTTACAGAAGTTTAACGGTCAATTTTCTTTCATTTATAAATGAAAACAAGTTCATATGAGTTTTGTATATGATTTAATGCGTACTACGTAGTCATCGATATTTTACGAGGACACAAGTTACGTTTAACAAAAAGTTTTCTTAAAAACAGGAATGGATGTAAGTTTAAAAATTTTCTATGCATTTTAACGGTGAAACAATAATAAGAAGTTTACGTAACTTTCTATAATAAGTATTGTTAATAGATATTTTTTAATTCTATCATATTTTATTTTATTTCTTATCGTTCTTGATATCCTTGAAAATGTTTAACCATAACGATTCGCATTCTAACTTACCTTAACAGGATACACGTTACCTTGAAGTTTTAATACGTCATATGTATATAATGTTTAATATCGATCATTCACGCATATATGATGCATTTAATTTATACATTTTCTTTCGTAATTTATCGATAATAATAAAGAAACGTGTAAAAAATTTCATATATCATCGATTGGATCGATTTAATTGTTAATTTACCGTTTAATTATACCGACACTTTTCTTATTCAATTATAATTCTTGTATACATTACTTGAACACTACATAGAAATGATAATTAAAACAATTAACATTGAAACGTTCGTTGTTACAACGGTAAGAAAAAAACAAACCATCAATTATTATAATAAAATTACAAATTGTCTATACAATTGTTAAGTTTAACAATAATTTTTGTGGTGGGTTAATTGGAAAATAAGATTTGACAAGTAGTCGAGCTTGAAAGAAAATAAAAATGATTGTTTATTTTAGATACAAATGTAATGATCAATGTTAAAAGTTAATAATGATTGTATATTTTAGATACAAATGTAATAATCAATATTAAAAGTTAATAATGATTGTATATTTTAGATACAAATGTAATAATTAATGTTAAAAGTTAATAATGATCGTATATTTTAGATACAAATCTATAATCAATGTTAAAAGTTAATAATGATCGTATATTTTAGATATAAATGTAATAATTAATGTTAAAAGTTAATAATGATCGTATATTTTGAATACAAATGTAATAATCAATATTAAAAGTTAATAATGATCGTATATTTTAGATACAAATGTAATAATCAATGTGTTAAAAGTTAATAATGATCGTATATTTTAGATACAAATGTAATAATCAATCTGTTAAAAGTTAATAATGATCGTAGAATTTTGTCATCGTCATTCAATGGGTTATGATTTTGCAGACCAACAAAATGGATCGCAGGTGTTCGAGGATGCCGATGCTCGAAGTACAGGAAGATGGCGAGGAGAAACTGGTTTGTTGGCGACCCCGCCTGATGGACGTTTCACTAAACAAAACGTTGGTCCACTTACGTTCGAAATGCCGAAGGTTCCGGTTATTTTTGTACTCGGTTAGTTTACCACCAATTATATTATATATTATTATCATCATTTTTAATATTTTTCAAGTTATACTTCTTTTCGCGCGCGTTTTGGAAAGTGAAGTTAAATGCGACCGAAAAATCGACACCACGAAGTTGTCGATATCTAAAATGCGCGGGAAAATTGAAATTATTTTTGAGGTTATATTCGTTTTGATACGCTAAAGAAGTATAACTTAGCATCTTACGTGTGTACATAAGTATACACATCAGTTTTTTTTATTATTTTACGATTATAAAATCGATATAAAAAAAAACAAAAAATAATCGAATCATTTGTTTATCAGGTGGTCCAGGTAGTGGTAAGGTGACACACTGTGATAATTTGATGCAAGAGAGGAAAGGTATAACGCATATCAACATGATGGACCTTCTTCAACAATATGCACTTGGAAACGGTGAATATGTTTGATTTATCGATTAGATTTTCAGATTAAACATTTAATACACAATTATTTAATTTAAGAGATTAAAAAAAGAAGATTACCTTATACTTACTTTGATTTAAATTGATCATTACGAAGTAACATTTTTCCTTGAATAATTCGGATTTTAATCCTTACGATTTTTCTGTGTTAATGTTTAACTATTTTTCATTAAAAAAAATAAAAGAAAAAGAAAGGAAAAGAATTTGGAGCGAAGGAAGGTTGGAAAAATTGATAAGCGTATATATGCGACTATAGAATTCAAAGAATTCAATTTTTGATCCTGAATACAGATATGCAAGATTTCGGTCAACTCAGCAGTAAAACGGTATCGGAAGTTCTCATGTTAGAAATGAAAATGTCTCCAGAGGCCAAAGTATTTCTCGTCAGTGGATATCCGCGAAATATGCGGGACGTAGTAGAATATGCTGAAAAGGTAAAATGTTTAATACAATTGTTGTTGTGCTTTTTTTTTCTTTTTTTTTTTCGTTATTCAGTTCTATTTTCCTTTTTTTCGTTTCAATAACGTAGAAAGATATGAATAATTGAATAGTTCTTAACGATCATCGTTTTAGTATGTACCATTACGATGGTAATATTTGTTCTGTAACTTTCCTTACATACATATTGACCTATTGACCTGACTTATGATCCTATTGTAATCCATTATAATATATTCAAGTTAGAACTTATGTGTTTATGTGTGTGTTAGTAATCAGTAGACACAGTGTATAGTAAGTTAATTGCTATTTAAGTGATAATTCAATACTTGTCTGTAAGTTCAAAGACTCAACAAGTACTTAAAGTGAAAAATCGCGTGATGGGTATTACAACCTATTCCATTTTTCATAGATATTATTCTTTCATTCGATAATAAAGATCATTTTCATAGTGAATTTATTAATTATCTTGTTACTAATGTTGATTAATATATCAAACGTTGTAATTAATTTCATAGATAAAAATCGTCAACGGTGTTATTCTTGTCTCATGGAGACAGGAAGTTCTCGAAAGACAAATCGATTTTGGTGCTCAGCTCGGTCATGTAATTATCGGATTAGCTAGAATGGAATTACACAATTTTTACAGAAACGTCATGCCCGTTGTGGAATACTTCGATCAAAGTGGCATGCTCTATGAGGTTAGATGATATAATTATCTTATACATTATCTTTTTTTTCTTTTGTGAAATAAAATAAAAATCAAACTTATGTTCATATCAAATTGATACGATCATTTGTATAAGCGTGATTAGAATATATAATATAATTATTGTATGTATAATCTCGAATGAATTTATTTCTAAATTTTAATCGTTAATTAAATTTTAATCCCAATTATTATTTTCATTATTATGTGATTTGTTTGTTTTTTTTATTTTTTTTGGTTCGATCTTGTTATATATTGAAATGAATAAAATCTATTCCCGATTTCAAAGGTAAACGGAGAACGAAATCCCAATGAAGTTTTTATTGATTTTCGAGAAGCTGTTATGAGAATTTTAGGATTACCTACAACGGACGAGGAAGATAAGAAAATGGTTCAACCTTTTGAAGCAGAAGTAAGTTTATATAAGAGTAATAGGAAATAAATGAATGAATAATATGAATAATAATAAATGAGATATAATATGTTTAATCAAATTGAAATGATTTTGATAAAGGTTAAAGTAGAAAGGAGAGAAGAAACAATTTCTAGAACACCAACGCCAAAGGATCAAGTAGTTGTAGTTGAAATGACCGAACCACCAACTGAAATAGATACTAAAGCATCTAAAACTGCTGTTAAACCTCGAAAAGGTTTACCAGCATTTATATGGGTAATAGGTAAGTATTTAAAAAAACATTCTTAACCTTCTTATTTAAATAAAAATAAAAAACAAATTTTATAATATTTATCTCTTATAACAAAAGTTATTTTTCATTTTTGATAAGGTGGACCTGGTAGCAATAAAGCTGTTTTATGTAGTCACGCGGTTCAAAATATGCCAGGATGGGTTCATATTAGTTTGGGAGGATTGTTAAGAGGAATGGCATCAACAAATACAACAGTTAGCGAAGCAATAGTAGCTGGCGAAATGGTATCTCAAGATATCGTAATGCCATTGGTCGAACAACAAGTACTTTTGAATCGTGATACAGATGGTATAGTCATCGATGGATATCCAAGAGATTTGAATCAAGTTCAAGAATTCGAGAACAAAGTAAAATATATTTTCTATACGTATTTAATAATAATTTAATTTCATATTAAATATATATAATTTAATATATATTGAAATATGGGGAATTGTAATTTTTAGTTCGGACAAGAACCACCGTTAATATTGTTGGATTGTTCGAAACTTCAACTCGGTAAAGGGAGATTAGATGACAGTGTATCAGCATTCAGAAAAAGATTAGAATTATTTCGTGAAATGTCATTGCCTATGTTGAAAACATTGGACAATGATAATCGATTAGTAATCGTACGTTTAACAATTTATTTATTAATTGAGATACAATTTAGAGAAAAAAAATGAGATATTTTTGTTGTTGTTATTATTATTTTTATTTAGATTGACGGTGACACGGACGTGCCAAGTGTAAAAGAAGATTTTTCCCAAGCTTTGTTTCAATTAATGCGACGTGCTAGACGAAAGGAGGAAGACAATCCACATGGACCAGAATCGCCTAAGTTTCAAGAAAATGGTGACAACGTAGACCCAAACTTGGCAGTTCCCGTTGACATCAACGGGACTCAGGATATAGAAGGACAGAAACATCATGGTGGTCATAATATAGCGAATGGTGTCCCTAGGCAAATGCTTAACAACGGTGTATCTGATCAAGTGAGCAAGACGATAGATAAAGTGGAAAACTTAAATGGCGTCGTAGTTCAAGGTCAGATTACAATGTTTTATAATATCGAGACAAAACTTTTCCATACGTTTTGTTCAAATTATAATGGGATTTTTCTAAACTAATCACAAAATGAAGGACAATTAATCACGTATTCTCGGGTTGTAGGGTAAAAGAGTATAATAATACCCTAACATATTTTTATTTGTATTTTATATTGTATATAATATTTAATTTTTTGTTTTACTAATTTTTAAATTTATAATTATACATTGTTTTTTTTATTAATAACTATATTATATAATTATTTTAATATATTAAATTTATTAATACTCTTTTACTCTTCTAGTAGATATATATATATTTATAATTAATTGTTAACTATGAATATATATTATATTTTTTTAGGAGTCACCAACATGACGAATGGCGTATTGAACAATGCCAAGAAATTGAATCAAAATGGTGGAATCCGACAAAATGGAATAACCAACGGGACGACGCATATGTTACAAAATGGTGTGGCGCATTTAGCTAATGGTATAATTCCAGGTAACAATAAGGTAGCACCAAGTATACAAAATTATTTATCTAACAATACGAAAGATCCTTTAAGAAAAATGTACAACGAGGTTGAAGGATACCAAGAAAATCTCCATATATAATGTTACGATGAATAGACGAAAAAATATTGATTAAATTTCTAAATATAGTATAGTATATAGATAAGACTTTCTTTTTTTTATATATATATATATAATATATAATATATACTAGCATTTAATTCATAAAGAAATATCAATTAACTTAAAGATTCTCTATCGGTTACGTGCCTTAAACATGACAACAACATTTCTAGATAAATTTAATCCTATGAGATGTTGTTAGTAAGTACGTGGCTTTTTATACGCACTGATAATCTGTAAATAAGATTTAATAAGTGATGATAAGTTCCCCTGAACAAAAAAAAAAACAGAAAAAAACATATCTACATATTAACAATTCTCTATCTATCTCTATCTCTCTCTCTTTCTTATGATTAATTACATTTAAAAATCGTCATAATATCTCATTTATGTTCGAATAAAAAAGAAACAATCTATAGATATATAAATATATATTGATTATTCGTAATTTTACGTGAAAATCAAAACGTTAAGTATCATAAAAATCGTAAAATATTTTTACTTCTTAATTTTTATCGATTATTATCATTTCTCTCGACTTTTTCTATGCACTTTTAAATGAAAAACAATACAATCAAAATATATTTTATCTATTTATTAATATTTATCTCGTATACCATAATATTATTATTATTATTCGTATAGCACTGCAGAAAAAAAAGAACCCAAAAAAAAATAATATTTTCTTCAATCGATGACAATTTAACACGATCGAATATTTTCGCGCGATTAGTCGTGCACGATGATTAAAATTAATGTGAAACGAACGATAAGTTATTATAAATATATTAGAGAAAAAAAAACACACATATAAACACATATACATATCTACACACAAACGTTATTAAATGAATGAATAAATTAACGATAAATATGCGACTTATCATTAACGGATTCTCTTTTTGACGTAAGGAGGTTCGTAAGATTTAATTAAACTATATTATATATAGTACAATAAAAAAAAAACAATTTCCTGAATTTTTAATAGCATATCACATATTTGTTTTCGTAAAAAAAGACACGTGTGGCTGGTATCCCCAAGTGTGTCAAATTAATACTCGTATATACAGAGATACATAATTTGTTTAACAAAATGGAAAAAAAAAAAAAGAAAGAAAATATCAAGAGAAAATAGAAAAAAAATAAAAAAAGAAGAAAAAAAAAAAAGAAATAAAACAAAAAAATAAAAACAAGACGACAAATGAATAAACATAGTAAATAATAAAAATATACGCGTTGATCGTGCGAGAAAGAGTATGTATATACATACATTATTTTACCCATAGATATTACAAAATATATATATTGATTAATAATTATAAAAAATATTTAAACCGAATCAAAAAATACAGAAAAAGAAAAAGTCTCTATTTTCAATGATCGATTGATAAAAAATATATATGATATGTGAAGGGACGTGTGAGATAAAAATTGAAGTATGCGTGGGAAAGATAGTATGAAAGTATTATAATAGTATGCAAGCGAAATGTAAGGGTGGCAACCTAATAACGTAAACAACTGAATAGGATTAAAAAAGAATTAAAAGGATTAACAAAGGGATCAAAAGAAATGAAGGTTTAAAAAAGCAGTCAGCGTCTAGTCAGTAGTAGTCAAGTAGCGAACACGTATTACTGTATAAATATTTTTGTATTTCATTTATTAGAATATATTGCATTTCCGTGAAGAAAGATTTTTTTCCTCTTATCTATATTATATTTATATATATTTAATTTTCCTATATATTATATATTATATATGTTACCGTCAAAACCGTAATTCCTCGGCATTACTAGCAATGACTGATTTCCGGCTTTGACGGTAACATATATATATCCTATATATTTTCTTCCATATACACAATTTATTTAAGTTTCTTTTTTTTCTCTACAAAAACTCATCTGTTTTTAGGTTCATTCAGTAAAAGTATACTACCTGCTTGCCTATTACCTATATTTAAAAATGAACAAACATATACACATCAATACATTTACTTAATAGTTCCCACATATACCATCAGGATGCAAAAACCTAAACTATACAGCACGTGTTTTTTTTTTATGACTTACATACTAATCGAAATATCAAATGATGTAATCGACTATCAAGGCTAGTGATTATTATTGCATAAATGCCTGAAATCTAAGGGTTGCATTGGTACGAAATAAAATGATCGTGCATTTCGTAAATTGTACGAAATTTCGAATGATTTAATACCATTTTCGCATAATTACGATCATAATTCTTCGTTAAATAAATACGAGGACTTTTCTCTTAAATTATATATATATTTTTTTATTATTTATTAATGTGTCGAGTTTATAAAATTCAAATAAATTGTTAACGTTGTTGCACTCAACTGAAAAAAAATAAAAAAGAAGGAAATGAAACCAATGTTTATATGGAAAAAAAAGGGGATAAATTATTATTACGAATTGGTAAGTATAGTGTAAACGATTTATTTTGTTAGTACGTACATTTGCGCCAGCACAAAAACAACAAAAGGAAAAAAGAAAACCAAAATTAACAAGTTATTATAAAAATGTGATATTAGAAACAACGAATATCCCGATTTGAGACACTAGACACGTATATTTATTTATTTATTTATTTATTTACAACGCGCCAAATCGTGTGTCCGTCCATTTTGATTTGAAATAGTTTTAGATTTTTCTTAAACAAAAGACAATTGCCGATTTCGTTATTAATTGCAATTAAACATTTTTAGTAGGATAATATAATATATCTGTAGGCATAAATGACGCTTAAAAAATATCATTATCGAATTTAAATAATAAAATATCGATTGTTTTAAGTGAGCTGCACTTGTAATCTCGTAAATCTCCTGATTTATCCATTGTATGAAGAATTTGTTATTCGTAAAATATAACACAATACGGAACAAATTGAAAACATAACAATATTATAAATTTCAATCGTCATACTTAAATTCTGTATAATTTAACAAAATAAATTCTGTAACTTAATAATAGCACTGAAAACCGTAATAACCGTTACGACCAACCGGTTAACCTAAAAATATTTCGACGCCATTTTGGTTGCGCACGATCGAACGGGACTCACACTTTTTTACAATGTTAATTAAACGAATGTTTATATTTTTCTGTTTTTTTTTTTCCTTGTTTTTGTATTCTTTTTTATTTTTCTTTCGAAAAAATACTAACGTGTATCATTACTTTATCTCCTTATTTTTTTGATCATTTTTATTTTATGTTATTTGCTTTTTTTTCGGTTTTTTTGTTGATTTTTTGATGGAATTTTCATTAATTCCTGTATTATTTGTTATAATTTATATACAGAGCCTTGCCAATCCGGATTACCGTATATTAAACGGTATTTACAAGGCAGTGATTGAATTATCTGAGCAATATAAATGCTCGTCATGAAGATAGGCACTAAGTGACTCTTCGAAAAGTTCGTCCCGGACAAACGAATGATCGATAATTTTCTAATATATTTCGATCATGATAAATATTATAATTATATTAAATAATTCGCACGCGTGTATGTTGCAACTTATAAACAACGATTATCATCGATCTCTCTCTCTCTCTCTCTTTGTTTTTTCTTTTTTTTTTTTTTTATAAAAACGTTAACGAACAATTCTATGATTTATTTTCTCTATTGTAAAAAATAATATAATATTATTACATTTATGCGTAACATTTTGTTTATAAGCACGCAACATTTATTCTTTCTTTCTCTCTCTCTCTCTCTCTCTCTCATTCTCATTGCTACTTAACGTCTATCAAAATAGATCAAATTTATTTAATAACGTATTTGATTTTTTGAATATTTTTATATAGTACAGCGATCATTATTAAATCACTTTAATGAAAACATAACGCGTCCAAGATGATCGATTGAAAAATAATCTAACGAGTTGTTCGGAAAAAAATATGAAAACGTTAATTAAATGTTTAAATTTTAAATTAAATCGATGACAGAGTTAAATTATTCTTATCAGATAAGTCTCATTTTCTGTAAGTAAATATTTCTAATGTGTTTCATATTAGTGATAATAAGGATAGATAAATTTGTCCGATCGAGAACTATGTAATATATATACTATATATGTAATAAGAGTTGATTATGGTTAACTAGAAGAAGCAGATAAAAACGTATCTTTGTCTATTTGGGAAATGATTATCAGCCCAATATACAATTAACGATCTTATTTGATAGTTTTTTCTTCGCGAAAAATCTCTAGAAATAATTTTTAAAAAGACGCATGTTATATAAGGTTACCAGGAGAAATGTATAATTACAGAATATGAGTAAATATACGGATAGATTAAATATATATATATACGCGTATGTGTACGTGTATGGGTTTTGTGCATGTATGTATGCTTGCTTGCGTGAGTATATTTGTTAAAAAAGATATAAGATAATTTTTAAAAAAAATAAGATAGTAGATAATATAACAACAATTGCAGAAATAATTATAAACGAGCTTACATTCGTTGATTACGAACGAATTTTAACTATTACATATTGTTTTTTGTTTATTTGAAATTAATTCGATTAATTAATTTATTACTTTTTGTTAAGAGTCCGTTCGTTAATGAAATAATATCAAGTTCGTCTTCAATTGTTATCCGAGTAGAAAAAATCTTATTGAAAATTAAATTAGTTACGAAATAATTTTACAAATATTTTTCCACGAGATACGAAGAGATGGGGGATGATCGATTAAAAACTTTGTTTTTGGCACCGTATGTATGTATGTATATATGTTAATGTGTGCGTGCGTGTATATTATTATTATTATTTTTTACACAAGAGATCCGACGATTATGAAATTGGTATCGATATAAAAAAAAAAAAAAAGAAGAAAATTTGAACAAAATTATTATTAAATTATTATTTTTTATTATTCGTACAATTGTGTTAATATTATTTTTTTTTGTATTCACTCATCAGAAGAGACCATTTTCATAATCACCGAGTGGTATTATATAATATATCATATTTTAGTTTAGTTTTGTTTGTATTTTATCATAGATAATACGAATTCACATCGTTGGATTTTATTTTTTTAATCATAACGTTTGTCTTTTATTGATTTACGAAGAGCTTCTTTCCCATTTTTTGTTTAACATGCAAAGGAACTAACGTATATATATATATAAATCTCTCTCTCTCTCTCTCTCTCTTTCTTATGATTTTTTAAGTACAAAGATTCGTATATAAAGCATAATTTATTTTAAATAATTGTTTATATAACGTATCTTTTAAGAATATTATTATATCGATAACCTTGAATCATATCGACGTAAAAAAATTGTAATATTCTGTTAGTTTTTTCCTTTTTTTTTTTTTTTTTTCAATAGAATATTTAATTACAATAATTGTCGTACGATCATGCGTAATTTACTTCTCATCTTCGATGTTATTTTTTTTTTGTTTTTTTTTTTTTGTATTTATTACGCGTATAATTCAATTAATTTTTAATGAACAAATTCAAGGCAGCGTGATAATAATCGGCAATAGATTGTTTTTATTTTTTATCTTAACTCGTTCTCTCTTTGCAATAATTTAAATCATACATTATTATTATTATTATTATTATTATCATCATCATCGTCGTCGAATCGAAGTAATATTTTGTTTTGTTTTGTTATGTGTTATGATAGTTAAAAAATATTATTTAATGGTAAAGTTTAATAAATCGTGTCGATTGAATGAATTTTTGTATCTTCAAATTTAATTCATATATGTTATAATGTTAGAGTAATTATGGCTAGCAGTATCGGTTGTTCATTCAACCGTATTATAAGACGATAAATCATGAAAAATGATGCGAAGCATACAGATTAATCTGTATATATATATATATATATGTCTTTGTCATGTTATTTTAATTGTTTTGTGGCTGTACGTACTTATTTCGCAACGTTTAGTGAATTTGATTATATAATAAAATTATAATCTACATTTTAATCGTATTTCATCTATCAAAATGATCTTTCAATCATCATCATCATCATCATCTTATTATTTTGTCTATTATTCATTAAAAACGATAAGAGAGTATTGGTAAATGACGAATTTCGTTAACATTACCAATTAACAATCTCTTTTTATTTTTTTTCGAATACATATATATATATATATATGTGTGTGTATATTTTAATTGTTTCAAAATCATTAATGATTATCTCATTTTCTCGTAGAATTCGAGAATTTATTGGGATAAAAATGTGTTTGTTGATGTTTGATTTTCGATCTCGACCAATCGATTAGCTCGATTATTAATATTATTAATATTATTATTATTAGTGTCCGAGAAAATAAACTAACGTTTATTATTTTCGTTAATCATTTTTTTCGTTCATTGATTCATGTCGATTGACGAAGATCGATTTTTATCGAAGAAAATGATCGAGCATTTTAGGAAGTTACCACATCTTGAATTGATTTTTCTCAGGATCTTATGGAAGACGTACTTGACGGTGCTGATGCACATCTATTCAATTTACTATCAATTATGATCTCGTCACCATTGCTTATGTTGTATCGATATAGTTGTTTGTTAGGATACAACATCTCTTCTGGTCCATGGTGTCCCTTCATCACCTGTTATACATATATATGATTAATATTAAATTAATAATAATTACTATTACAGAGGCTGGTGTTGCATAATTTCTGTCAGATTTATGATCAAAAATTTATACTTTGATTAATAAACGCATTGTCAATTTCTAATGAAAAATATGACAGAAATAATGTTACGACAATATTATTAGGTTGAATCAAAAGTTCATGTGTCTTTTAAAAATATAATATTACCGAAGTATATTTTACAAAAAACAAAAGAAAAACAATCTATATAATGCAGTTTATAATACGACAAACGCACGAACTTTTGGTGTTTACTTTAATATTATTATTGTGATATATATAAAATTGTCTTATTTTTTTGTTAGATTTAAAATTAGTTTCTAGTTTACCTCGATAATTCATTGATATATACAGTGTGAGATAATTAAATTGATAAAAAGGAATCAAGCGATTGTCATTTAGGATTAATGGATTCGTGTATAAGGTTTCATTAAGTTATTTCACATTTATTAAAACACCGTTCAAGGAACCAAAAGTTCTGGAAAATAAATAATAAAAATTCATATTAGTTATTAAACAAATCTAGACTTACTTGATCAACGTAGAAGAGTCTCATCCTATTAGCAGGAATTTTCACCATAGATTCCAGTTTAGTTTTTAATTCGAAAACCGTTCTATATACATCTACCGATCGTACCTAAAAAATACAAACGAATACTTCTGTTTTTCTTATTTGAATATTTTGTTATTGATTTATATATATTACAAGATTATAAATATATTATATATTAAATAACTTAAAGAAAGATTGACACAAAATAGAATTAAAATGAGTAATTAAATACTTTAAAATACCTCAACTAGATCTCCATAAGTAAACGTCACCTTGACCCTCTTCTCAGGTGTTAGGTCAACGTGTACTAAGGGATCCAATTTCCCATGAATAGCCACAAGCTCGGAATACCTGGAAAATTGATTTTTATAATATATTAATTATTTCATTTACAACTAGGATAGGATAAGATGAAATACATTGTTAAAAAATCATATGAAGAATGAAATGAAAAGGGAATGAATTAAATATATCAAAGAAGAAAATGTTGTTGATCAATCAATCGTTTACCATTAACAGGGTTTTCTATATAAATCGAATTTAAATTTACCTTTCTGGTCTGTCAGCTTCCGGTTTGTCCATGTAGTAACGAATGAAGGCTCTTTCAGCGTCCTCGCGTTCTTGGGACGAAATTACACCGCCACCATTCAATGTCTCGACATTGGGAAGCCTTGCTATTAACAATTGACGTCTTTCGTGTTCCGTGTATTCTCGAGGACTCTTTTATATAAATAAAGAAAATAAAAGATATTTAACAAATGTATCTCACTTTTGTTTATTTATTTATTTATTCTTAACGAGACAAATAATTATCATATATCGTAGTTTGGGTAAAACAACTAAAATAAAATAAAACAAAATAAAAAAATATGAAAGATAAGATGATTATTTTCCATATGATTTACTCACTTCGAATAAAGGACAGCTGTGAATTCTTAAAGATTTCAATGCTGGAAATCTGGAAAGTCGTTCGACTTCGTCCCATGTTCCAAGTAAAGTTCCATTCATATTTAAGAACCTAAGCATCCTGAACGGATCGTGAGGCGATTGTACTTTATTATTACTTGATTCCGATTCCGATTCCGATCTATCGTAACTGACTTTGTTTTCAGTTATAATATGATTATTACCAGTTTCACCAACCGACATTCGTTCCTCTACATCAACGTTATTCATATTCTCATTATCTTGGGTACAATTATTGGGATCATCATTTTGTCTTAACAAATCATCACTATCGCGAATTAAATTACGATTATCTTCGAGTCTTAATGATCTAATTGGACATTCGGCTAATACAAGACTCTCCAAATTCGGAAAAACGTAACCCAATTTGGATATCTCGTTCCAAATTTCAACGGGATTACCAGTGAAGTGTAATTTTTTTAACGATCTATTAACGTTATCTCCCTTACGATAATCCAAATCAACAGTTTTGTATTCGTTCAAGGATAAATGTAATTCTTCGAGATTACGTAATAAACGTATCAAACCTTGAACAGTAGACCAGGATACTCTTGTACCATTCAACACGAGATTCCTCAATAAATCGTAATTACCATGTTTGATTTCCAATACTTCGGCTAAACAATTGAAGCTTAAATTAACGAACTTGATTTTGGGCATGTGTTGAAGTATACCAAATACTTCGGTCCATTGTGATAATTTGTTCTGTGCCAGATCCAATTCCTCAACGTTTTTACACTTGTTACGTAGTTTTTCATCGTCATTACCGGCACACTCGATATCGCAATCCTGTAGGACCAGCAAAGCTGGTACCGTGTGACGTGGTGATTTTTTTGGAATGAAGATACTAACTGAAAGAGCTGCTTTAGGTGAACCAGATTCTCCTTCGTCGTCCGTCAACGAACATTCCGTTGTTGAGCTACCGTATTTCAGCTCTAAGGCTTCCAATAACGACGGCATTCTTACAACATTCTGAAAGATAACCAAAAGAAAAATCATTTTTATAAGATTTATAGGGACCGACAACAAAAAATAACACAATCGTCATCCTTTTTGTTTTTTTTTCGGTTCTAATTTATTTTTATTTTAAATTAATTAATTTGTTTTTTAATTTTATTTTAAATTAATATAATTTTAAATTTAACAAATATCAATTGTTCGGATAGTCGAATAGTTGAACACTTTGAACTTGAAAATTATTATTAAATCTTATTTTTAAGAGATCCAAAATGTTAAACACTAATGGTTGCATTTAGGTTGGTTTAAGATTAAATACTGGTATATAACTTTAGAATTGTTTAGTTTGATTAGTTGGGTTTTTTAATCTTTCGTTAAATTATTTAATTTTATTTTGTTATCTTTGAATTTCTTTCAAACAAAATTATTTCTTATTACATGCAAGTAAAGAAACTAAACGTAGATACTAGATACGATTTTAAACAAGTTATTGTAAGTTTCGTTGAATAAAAGGAAATAAACGAACGTGGGGAGACAGGTGTTGAAAACAAAATTCATTTTCAACGATGACGACATCGATTTAACCAAACCCAAAAAAAATTCGATGGGATGAATCTGACGAAAATGAAATTTATCGAAGCAAGACAAATCATTGCATACATTTTTTCCTTATCTTTTTTTTTTACTGTTAAAACAATGCGTTAAAACTTTATCGATAAGTAAACGATATTATATTTGTTTTATTTCGTTTGTTCAAATATATTTTAACAAAGTATCGTTGATTATACAGTCGTTGTGTTTGTTATAGTGTAAACCTTGGAAATAATATGATGACGCCATTGATTGATCGATAACTACGTGATAATGATTTGTATTATTATCTCAAGTATACTTCTATATTATAAAAAGAAATGAATCTAGTTAAAATAAAATGATTAATATAATATATTGATCTTTATTATTATTGATCATATAAATCTAAATTTTTAGGATTGTATTTAATATTATATGAATCATCTCTTTATGCTGATATTCGCAATCAAGGGCACCTGAACTTGCCCTTGATTCGCTGATTCATACACGTAGTCCTTCCTACGAATAAAAGGTGCATACTTATTTGCCATGTTCGTTTCTTTTTTTTTCTTTTTCATTAACGCAAATGAAAACAAGAGTACGTAATTTTTAATAAAAATTAATTGGCTTCTTCTTCTTCTTCTTCTTATGCGAGTTATGTGTATATATATATGTATATGTATGTATATACGTGACGCAGATAGTTTAATTTCATGACAGACTAAAATAGATGAATTTCACGATAAAATCGAGTTAACATTCTTCTCGAGGGAACGAGTTAACCTTTTGCATTTCTAAATCATAAAGACTATGTACCATATTATTATTGTTTTATATTTTGTTTTGTTTGTTAAAAGAAATGCAAAATGAAATATTAATAATTAGTTAATATAATTAACTAGAGATTATGTATTTTTAAAACTGTTAAGTATTACTCCTGAAAATTAATCTTTAAAATAAGTTAAT